TGAAGAAGGTTAAGTTTGAGGCACTGGTACTTCCTGCAAAGATAAGAGGAGGCTACAGCAATTAAATCATGTGACACTGGCACAGGGATAGCAATAGAATATCTAGAAGGAGAAGAATAGATTATTAAGTGATCCTGAGGCGATTGGTTATCCATATGGAATAAAATTGGATTCTTTCCTCATACCTACCAAACAAATCAGTTCTAAGTAGATTGAAACTTAAATATGAAAGGTAAAAACTATAAAACTGTAGAAGACAATGTGAGAGACAATAGCTTAGAGAGGGAAATGTTTATTAAGATACAAAAACAGCACAAAATATAAAGGAAACGATTAATAAATTGGGACCGCCATTATATTTAAAGATGTCGTTTTCTCAGAAACAACAGAGTGAAAACCTTGAAGTAGGAGTTGTTTGCAAGTCATAACTTCGATAGAGTTAAAATACAAAAAATATATATATAAAGAACACTTGCAAATAAATAAGAGAAAGACAGCCCAGCGAAACACTGCTCCAAAGACAGGAAAAGGCATTTCACAGATGAATAAACACAAATGGCCCATAAGCACAGGAAAAGATGCTGAATCTTTTTAGTAATCAGGGAATTGCAAATTAAAACCACAATACTATTTATTACCCACCAGATTGGCAAATGTTAAAATGCCTGTCAATAAGAAGGGTTGGCTAGAATATGGACAGTCAGGAAGTCTCTCATAGCTGAGTGAAAAGAAGTTGGCAGTGCCTAGTAAAACCGAATGTGCGTAACTTATGGCCCAGTAATTCCACTCTTATGAAACTCTTACACATGGCCACCAGGAGACATGGACAAGAAAGTTTACAGCATCTTTGTGATGGAGAGTGGAAAAATGGGAACAACCCAGATGTTCATCAGCAGTGCAGTGGATATATAAATTACGATGTAATTAAGTAATGAAGTACAATCAAGCAGTGAAAAATTAAGTAATTACAGTTATGTGCATCAACATGGATCAATTGTAACATAATTTTGAGTGAGAAGCACGTTGCAGGAAAAAATATGTAAGTCTGTATAGGTTTTAAACATGTATTAAGTGAATTGTATTTTTGCATAATTGCTAAAATAATAAAATCAAGGAAATGATTAATACAAAACCCAGGACACTGATTGCCAGGAGAGGAGCAGGTGTGGTGGGAGTGGGCTGTGTTAGGTAAGGGCCCGCACTGAGGCTTCAGTGACTAGTGTTCTATTTCTCAGAATCGTGGGTAGGTGGGTATATGGTTTATAACTTTTTAAACGGTACATATACATTTTATAAACTCTGATGTTTATATTTTTAATTGTAACTTGCAATTTTTAAGAGATGGTAGGAAATTTGAAGATTTTTTTTTATTGGGGAAGGGGGAACATTGTGGTTTTCCAGGACCCATCAGCTCCAAGTCCATTAGCCGCTTTCTATCTGGTTGTCTGTGTGTGGGGGGGGGCGGGGGCGGGGGAGAGGGGACACAGTCCATCATGTTGGACACTGAGCCATCCGGCCTCCAGTTGGCAGCTCCCGGCTGCTCAGCTCAAGGGGGCATGTTCAATCTTAGTTGCGTGTGTGCACAGCCCACCATCCCATGTGGAAGTCGAACCAGCAGCCTTGCTGCTAAGAGCGCGCACTCTCACCAGCTCAGCAGCAGCTCAGCTTGGGCGCAGCTCACTGGCCCATGTGGGAATCGAACCTGTTGTTCAGAGCTCGCACTCTTAACCTGCTGAGCCATTCAGCCGGCCCTGGAAATGTTTTGAAATTAGGTGAAGTAGATTAGCATATTGAAAATGCACAAAGATTGGAAATCATTGCTTAAGGGTATTGACTGGTAAAAATAACCCTCCAAATAATCCACGAAAGAAATGGTTTATTCGGGAAACAAAAAAGAAACAAAAACCACCACTGCAGTGCCGGAGCGCACACCTCCATTCCAGGGCTCCAACTAGCCGCCCATGAGAAGAAGAAGTACTACTGTCCCAAGATGGCTATTCCTATTTATTATCATCCCTCTCCCGGAAGCTACCATAAAGTTAAACAGGAAGTTCAGGATTACAGAGTTCACAAGGGGCTCAGCTCCACCCACAGTCCTCCCAGCTCTATGGTCAAGCATCCCAAGATGCCCGTTCACTTTTATCAAGGGTGTTTGGAGGCAATTTAATTTTCAGTTAAGGCCTCTCCATAAATCAGCTTTAGAGTTCGAGTGAAAGGAGAGGTACAGAAACCTAAAGGGGCCTCTCTAGCATAGCAGCTTAAATGAAGTGTGGGAGACACCAGCACCCTGACTTGTCTGCTTTTTGTCCTCTCTCACTCCCTTCTTCACTCCCATAAATATTTAGTGACTGATTACCAAGTCCTTGGCATTGTCTTAGGGGCCAAGGCGCCAGAAGAGGTAATGCCCCCATCTTGGCATTCACAGCAGTTTTCAAACTCTTGCTTACAGTTTGTTACTCTTAGCCTCCTAAACTGACTCCACAGTGAAATTCACTTCAGGTCCATATCATAATCTACTCTTTGAGAACTTTTTAAGGAAATCAATTATTTACATATTTTAGACAACCTAATTGAATATGTATCTTTAAAGTTTTCAGGGTACTATCCTTTTTGGTTTGGTTCAAGCCCTTAGTTAATATTCTAATTACTATATTTATTTCTAATTTTTTCCTTCCCCTACATATCAAGCTTCTCTTGATGTACTCTAATTATTTGGAATTGACTGATGTATTGATTTTACCTTTCTAGGTATAATTTTGAGACTAGAAATTGGATCTAATCTTAAACCTTGACTTAAAGCAATGTTTTCAAGAGCACAACAAGCATACTGCTAGAGAATATTAGGTGGTGCAAAGGGAAATGTTTTTTATTTAAACAGTTATGCAGTTATTTTAATGTTTATTATAAAATATACACATGGGACCTGTGATTTCATGGCTGTAATTACTGAGGATGCAACTAAAGTAGTCTATATGACAATCCATCTCACATAGATTGCATGAGTTAATGTCCCTGGTGGTTGTCAGATATAGCAAAAAAAACCATGAAGTTGATACACTGATTATAGATGTTGTGTTTGGTTGTAAAAGTGAATTAAGATACTTTCTGATGTCCTACGATTGTCTCCTGTTTGTATCATGACTCAAAATATAAAGTGTTTGTGGTTTGGCCAGGAGAAAGCAATCTAGAAAATTCAGCTAGGCAAATAACTTGTTCAAATAACATATTCTGTTGTAGGACAGGTTCTGGAAATACACAGATGAATAAAATGTAGATCCTTCCCTTCAAAAACACCAATCTAACAGATAGGCAGGTAAATTAAAAAGTGCAATACAGCATGGAAAGTGTACCAGTGGAAATATGCATGTGGTAAATGCGTACCTTGGAAAGGCAGGTGCTGACGTATGGAGCAGTGAGGAAAGTCTTCACAGAGGAAGGAGACTTGCAAGCAGTCCTGAGAGATGAGCAGACAATGTACAAAGAAATTGACTGGGAAATGGAAACCTCAGATCGGCACATGCCAAGATACAGAGAGCTAAGAGAACACAGTGTGTTACCTGAGCAGCTTGTCATTTATGCTAGTGTGAGGGGAAAGATGAGGAGGGAGCCAGACAGGGAAGCTGTGGAATAGGACGGCATTCATTTAGACCTTATTCTGTAAATGACTGTCAGCCTTTGAAAAATTTTAAGCAGAAGACTGACATGTTGTTGCGGGCAGCGTAGGCGATGGACCAGAGGGGGAAGAATCAGAGTCATGTTACAGTTAGTCGTTGGGCAACAGGACACTGGGGAGCAATTGGAGGAAGTTCAGAATTTCTGCTTTGCTTAGCTTCACATGATTTTCAGTAATTTGATTACACTTAGACTTTCCCCAGAATTTAATGCTTTGTAGGGGATAGTGGTAGGTGATTTGGAGCCAATATATAACATTTCTGAAGAAATTGGTATTATTCAGTCTTTATTATAAACATGGTATTAACTAACTCTGCCTATGTAGTCTTAAAGGCAGACAGGTTTGTGTTTATTTTGTGTTTAAATAATGTGTGGGCGTCATATAAAAGCTGAGTGGAGACATGGTATTGATGAGGTACACCGCTGCAAACAAGTTCTGTTTTCCAATTAAAGTGGTACATTGCAGCGGCAGAAGAATAAAATACTTAAACTTTTCTACCATTAATATCCTGTCTAGAAAACCTCAGACAACTGTGTTACTTAAAGGGAATTGGGTAGACAACAAAATCAGCATCCTATAAAGAGCCTCCTTTGAATTGTGAATGTTCTACATAACTTAATTGTGGCATAGTGTTTACCTTGGTGCATTCATATTTACTGTTGAATTTTAGACTTGATAGTCTTTGGATTTAGTGTGTATATTCCACCTTCCAGAGAAATGTACCAGTATGCCCACCTATTTTCATACCTTCAGCTTATCGTAATTTATGTCACAGGTCTGATGTAGGCTGCCTGCTTTCGTGACTGCACTCATCTGTGTCTGTATACACAGCCAGACCCTTAAACACCAAATGTTCTGCCACACGTTTATTTGGGGAATATTCTTTTAATATGCACATTTTGTCATGTGGCTTACTCAGCTACTTTGCTAACATTCAAAGCTGTGAACTCTCCATATTATCTTAACGTTTTACTGTTTTAGCCCAACAAAAATTTCCGACTATGATTAGGCAGTTCACTATAACATCTTACCAAAAATAATCCAGAAGCATCAACGGGGAGTTTATGCAATGGGCACATTAACTTGATAATGCGACTGCAAGTGGAGATGAGAGAGGAAGCACAGAAATGAAGGGGACAACAGATGACCTTGGGAACAACTGTAGGTTCCTTTCGCAGGACCCATTCATGTTGATTATAATGAGACTGATTTTGTATTTGAAAATATATTTTCTACATACAGCTCTTGTTACCAAGTTCTTTTGAAATTCTTTTTCATTCCTTTGAAGATTTAATTCCTTATTTCCTTATTTTCTACTTTGGCACAGAAATCCCCTGCAAAGAAGCTGAGCCATGCAATTAGTAAATCTTTGGGGTGCGTGCCCACCAGAGAACCCCCGCATCCAGTTTTCCCTGAGCAACCAGAGAAACCACTTGACCTTGCAAATATAGTGTAAGTATTCACCTGGCTATGGACGTGGATTAGGCTGAAATGCACACCTTGCTAAGTTCTTTTGAATCAAAACCAAGTATCACCTAACATGAACATTTAACCTTCTGGTTTTTACTTTACTTTTGGGGAACTTAGACTTCAAGCTTTCATCTCCTTAATTCACCATAAGTGTCTACATAGAAACCTAACTCCTGAGTGCTGAAGCCTAAAGGAGTATATACTGTCTCCAACAGAAACATTAATACATTGAAGAGCAATGATTGTGCTGGGTTTTAGCAAAGTTGCCTTGTGTTGTTTGTGTGTTCTTTCCTTAAATCAATGGTGGTGATCATTCTTTTATACAGCAGTAATGCCCTTAGAGATTTAAAAAATTAGTTTAGACAGCATGAAAATGAAAATCAACCTGATTTGCTCTGTGTATTAAGAGGAAATTAGGACACATAAGGTTATATTTTATAAACAAAACTTGTAATATATTGGGTTGTCAGAAAAGCCATGACGTATTTTTTCTGTTTTTCATTGCAAAAATGCGTCATACCTTTTCCGACAGCCCAATATATATGTATTAATTGAATATTTATGCTAGAAAGCTAGAGGGACCACAAAAAGTTACAGAAAGAGAAAAAGTGAGGAGAAGGAACAAGGAAAGATAAGATTCAGACTCTATTCTTATCTATTCACTCTGACATTAAGTTTACTCTGCTGGATAAAGCTGGTAGGTTTTTGATCATTAGTCTTTATTGGGTGTTTAGAAGTTTTTCTGTTGGAGTAGACATTCATTTTCTTTTATCTACCTGGTGATAGGTAGTTTGACTAAATGACCTCTTAGGGTTTTTTTTGTTTTTTTTTTGTTTTTAGTTGGGGAGTTGGGGGAGGGGAACAGCCAAGTTGTTGTTCTTCACTCTTAGTTGTGGAGAGCGCCAGTCACTATCTGGCTGCCTGGGCAGCTCGTGGCCTCTAAGCTCAAGGTGCTGTGTGTTACAATCTAGTTGCAGGTGGGCGTAGCCACCATCCCATGCGGGAGTCAAACCCAGCAGCCTTGTTAAGAGTGCACGCCCTATCCACTGAGCCATCTGGGTGGCAGCTCAGCTCAAGGTGCCGAGTTCAGTCTTAGTTGCAGGCTGGCATAGCCACCATCAAACAGGCAGTCTTGTTGTTTAGGAGCACGTGCTCTCACCAGCTAAGCCATCCTGCCACCTGTTGGCAGCTCAGCGGCAGCTCAGCTCAGGCGTAGTGTCCTTGGCCCATGTGGGAATTGAACCAGTGGACCTGTTGCTTAGAGCTCTCACTCTAAAGCTAACTCTTAACCAATTGAGCTACTCGGCCGGCCCTGTTAGGATTTTTGATCTTTTCTTTTTCAATAATTTTTAAGACTTCCATATTTATTAAAATTATATAAGCATGTGGATTAAAAATTCAGTGATACAGAAGAGCTTAAAATGAAACACAACAAACATACCTTTCCACACTTCATTGTGTTTTGCCTGGGTTTTAGATCTGCTAGTGGTTACCTCCATATCTGTGAATAATATACAGAGGGTGCAAAGAAAAGGGTGCCAAAAAATGTATACAAAGTTTAAGACAGGAAAACTGTATTAAAATTGTAATACTCAACATATACCAATAACAAAAGATGAGTACAAGTCATGCGTGACTTCTGCAATTACAAGAGGTGTTCAAAGTGGTTACCATCAGCGTCCAGACACTTCTTTTTTTTTTTTTTTTAAAGATTTTTGTTGGGGAATTGGGGTAAGTGGAACAGACAAGTTGCTGTCCTTTTGTTCTTCAGTTTAGTTGTGGAGGATGTTGCTTCACTGGCTCACGTTGGCACCATCATTGCACTCTTCCTGGGCGAGGCAGATCAGTCACCGGCATCTGGACGGCCACTCACTGAGGCTGGTGGCCGCTCACGCTGGCTGCTGGCTACACACAGTAGCCCATGGCAACCCACTGCCGCAGGGGCTGCAGCCTACGCCATCGCTAGTGACCCACGGCAGCCCAGCTCCAGGTTGAGCTGTTGTTCAGCATCTTAGCTGTGGAGGGCAGTGTCACTTGCCCTCATATGTGGGATCCGAACCAGGGTCCTCTGGTGTCCCAAGCCAGTTCTTAACCAATGTGCCACTCGGCCGGCCCAGACACTTCTGATTACGGCAAACTACGACTTGAGCAACGTTGATTAGTGTCCACTTGTATACATGTTATTGGCACCCCTGGTATACAGAGCACCAGTTCTTGACTTATCAGTTTGGGAAATTATTGAATTCTTTTTATGGTATAACCAACCTTATTTATAACTATATATCAACCCATCCCAGTTTTTCATAATTATATCACCATTTTTTAAGTCGGTTAACTTTGTAATTTTAAATAATATTCTTAAACCTCTATTTCTTGCGAGTTCTTTCGACTTCCACTATGTAGAAAGAGAAAATTAGTTGCCTTCTGTCTACTTCTCCCTTCTCCTTTTGCCTCCTGACTTCTGTCATCTATGCCATTACTTTTTATGGTCAAAAATTGATAATATTTCTGTTCCGTTCTATGATCATAACTGAATCTTCTGCAATTTCAGATTAAATCTTAAAGTTGAAAACCAAAAACAGCATTTACAGTTAATACCATTCATTACAAAGTCAAACAGTGTGCTGAGTATTATTTTGTGTAGTTCCAGTGTCATGACCCCTGTGTACTTCTCTCATCAGAATTCACTGGGAACTTCTCTCTTACACACCACTGATTGCTCAAATCATGCCTTTAACTTTATAACTGGATTGACTTCTGACTGTTGTTTTTTCTTGTTTCCCATTGCTTCCTTCTTCTTGCTGGGGGGAAAAAATATGCTTTTCCCCCCACTATGTTCCATAGTGAATTTTACCCATTGCTAGTAATCCATTTTTTTGTTAAATTTGTTAACCTTTTCCCTTTTTGGTTAGTGTTTTTTATGTTGCATTTTTTATTTTTTAAAAAGTCCTGTCTGTTGCACTGTTGCAGTGGTTTTTTTTTTCTCTCTTTCTTTTTAAGTTTTGAAGATGTCCCTTTTACATATGTCTTTAATTCATCTGGAATGGGTTTCTATGTATGGCGTGTTAAGAATATGAAATTCTCTTTCTCCCTTTGCATTTGACTAATAACTTGTCTCAGAGCCATTTATTAGATAATCCATCATTTCCCCACTGACCTACAATGCCACCATTGTCATAAATGAAGTTTCCAGCTATGCACAGTCTGGTTTCAGGGCTCTTTATTCTGTTCCTTTGGTTAAATTGTCTATCTCTGTGCCAATATCACACTATCTTGATTAAGGGATTAAATAATCTGTTTTAAAGGTATGTGGTCTATTCTTTGCTCTTTCATATAAATTTTAGAATCAGCTCACTGAGTTCCTCATAAAATTTTTTTGGATTTTGATTGGCGATTCATTTCATCTAAAGCTCAAATTGGGAGAATTGACATCTTTACAATATTAAGTCTTTCATTCTGTGAATGTATTATGTCTTTCCATTTATTTAAGTATCCTTTTATGCCCTTCAATAATGCTTTGTAATTTTCCCCAGAAAGGTCTTATATATGTTAGATTAATTCTTATGTACTTTACATTTGTTGTTGCTGTGGCAAGTGGTGACTTTTTTCCTACAAGGAAAAAGAGTTAGAAAAAGAGTAGCAAAATAAACCCAAAGATATATTTTACATGCAATAAAATGTACCCACTTTAAGTGTACAATTCCATGAGTTTGGGCAAATGTGTACACTTGTGCAAATGGTATCTTTTTTGAGTTATGTGTCTGAACAGTTTGTTGCTGGTATGTAGAAATGCAAATTGGTTTTGTGTTTTAATCCACTATCTCTAGTCATCTTGATTAACTTGCTCATTAATTCTAGTAATTTGTACTCAGATTCTTTTGGATTTTCTATAAATAATTATGTCACTTGCAAATAGTGATAGCTTTGTTTTCTCCCTTCCTTGCCTTATGCTTTTCAGCATTAATTATACTTTATTTTTTCTTTTGGTCTTATTGTATTGGCTCCAGCGCAGTATTGAACAGAAGCGGTTTAGTAGACATTCTTGTGTTATTACCAATCTCAAAGACAATGCTTTCAGCATTCGTTTAGTATGGTGTGTGATGTAGTCTTTGTAGAAACTGTTCATCAGGTGAACGAGGCTTCCTTTTATTACTAGTTTGCTGAGTGCTTTCTTTTTTTGTCAGACGTGGATGTCAAATTTTATTAAACCTTTTCTGCTTTAATTGAGATGATCATGTGAGTTTATTCTGTTAATATAGTGAATTACATGGTGATTTTGTTTTAGAACAACCCCACATTCCTGGAATAATATAAACTGACTCTCCTTTTAATACACTGCTAGATTTCATTTGCTAATATTTTGTTTAGGTTTTGCCTATGTTTATAAGTTAAATTGTTCTGTAATTTCCCTTGATTTTTTTTTTTTTGTGGGGGGTTGTTTTGTCTTTTGGACAAAGTTTGTCCTATTTTTCTCTCTTCAAACATTGAGGAGCATTCTCTTTATACTTTTGGGAAGATCTTATTTAAGATTAGAATTATTTGCTCCTTAAATTTTTGATAAAACTCACCAGTGAAGCTATCTGTGCCTAAAGCTTTCTTTGTGGAAAGATCTTTAATAATTAATTTCATTTTAAAAACAATTATAAGAGTATTTTCATTTATGTATTTATTTATTTTTTTGAGTCACTTTGGAACATTTTATATTTGTAGGAATTTGTTTTTTTATTTTTTATTTATTTATTATTTATTTATTTATTTATTTATTTATTTATTTATTTATTTATTTTTAGCTGAGCCATCCTGCTACCTATTGGCAGCTCAGCGGCTGCTCAGCTCGGGCTGGACTCGAACCGCTGTTGCTCAGAGCTCAAACTCTTGAGCGAGCTCTTAACCAACTGAGCCACTCGGCCGGCCCTGTAGGAATTTGTTATTGGCACAAAGTTTGTAATGTTTTATCTACGGTTATAAGGACCCTTTTTTCA